TGTTTGTGTAAAACAACGAACTTATGTATCTCAGCGGATTGAAACTTAATTATTGTAATTTTTTGTTTTTAATTAATTGTAATGATCAGTTTTTCTTTTTGTAGATTGAAAAGTTGTCGGATCTTTTCAGTACATATTGCGAGTCCAACCATGTTAATATCGAAACGACATCATTTACGTTTGATGGCGATAAAATTGATCCAAATAAAACTGCAATAGATATCGGTATAGAAGATGGTGATGTCATTGATGTAATATTCAATTAAGCCTCTTATGTAATGTTTCATCAATGAAATCTTTTTTTTTATTTTTGTTATGTTAGTGTTTTTTTATTTTTTTTTTTTCGAAATGAATTATGTTTGTGTTTTCCGTTTTCTTTTTCAAAATTATTAGACTTTCAAAATGATTGGATGTTAATTTTTCTTTTAAAATCATTTGGATGAATTGGATTTTTTTAAAGACGAGTTGAGCTTTTTTCTTTGTCGACTTTAAGTTCTGAGTCTCCGAAGCTCAAAAAAATATATATTTGTATTTATTTGTAAATTTTTGTAAATATTTTTAGAGAACAATTCTATTGAACAAATTTTTGGGACATTTCTAATTGATTTTTTAGAAGAAAACAAACTGATGAGCATATGAAGTAGGAAAGCGTGTTTAAGATTCAAAAATTTTATGACAATCAAAGCGTGTTAAGGGGTCAAATATTTTATGACAATATAAAATAGTTTATTACCCAACAAGGCCCGTAAATATATATATATTTATAGTGTGCCTTCTTTCCTCGCCCTGAAGCAATTTGTTTATATTCACCAGGTAAGTTAGTACGTCGATTTAAAAAAGACGAGTTTAACGAAAGTACTCCAAAGAATTTTTTTATGAAAACTGTTGATAATGTTTATTTAACAATATTTTTGTTGAGCCAATAAATAAAATAATGGGCAGCCGTGGTGTACTGGTTAGAGTTCTGACTTCATAACTGAACGAGCGACGTTCAAAGCCGGCTCTGGTCATATATGCATCAACTTTCTAATTAAATCCTATTGCGCGGTGCTGTGTGATAAGACCGTCAGGACTTCTTGGAGTGCCTAAAATAATTAATAAATTATATATTAAGTAAATATAAATATTTTTTGCAAAAAACTAAATATAAAAATTAAAAAATGTATTAACTTGATTGCAATAATATAATTTTAAATATGCCACTAATCATCGTCATTACAGTTGTCGTGTAATATACATTTTCAACTATACAGGACTCGTGAGTCTAAAGACAATTGAGCTCAACGATCCTTTTGTAAACTTTCCTCAGCTTTTTGATTACAAAATAAAAAATGGTGATAAAAGTTTTAACTATACAAAACTAAACTCTAAATTGATTTAGAATTGTGATTTAATTATAACTTAAAAAGTTAACTGTGACATAAATTTAAAATTCGAGTGTTCAGAAATGAAAAAAGCAATTGAATCAAAGTTTAGTACAATATTTTATTTAAAATTGTATATTTATTTAAAATTGTATTAATATTTAATATTTATTTAAAATTGTACAAACTTTATCTTTTTAAATTTTATAATTAACATTTAATGTTTATTTGTCATTGAAAATTTTATAAATTTTAATTTAAAAAATTAAGAGTATTACATAATCTATTTAAAATGTAATAAAGCATAATTAAAAGGTTGCATGAATCTATAGTTTATTAAGAGCACAAGGTTTTACAAGAAAGATCCTTATTTCTGCATCAGGGAAAGGAAGATTGCCTGAAAAGATTATTAACAAAATGTGAAACTAGTATGGAATGAGCATTAGGCGAAATACATTTGCAAATTTACAACCAAATTTTCTGAGCTCAGCTGAGCGCAGTAGGTACTATGCTTTTTATTATAAATGGTACCCAATTGTAAATTTTACTTTAAAAACAGAAAAAGATGCATAAAAAAATACTGGACTTTAAAAACAAGAAGAAGACGCATAAAGAAATACTGGACTTTAAAAACAAGAAGAAGACGCATAAAGAACAATTATAATCATTTAAATCTTATTAAAATCTTTTTTAAATACTTTTAATGTTATTGTAAAAAGTTATGGAACATTTTATGAAGCAGGAGGGAACAAATAAGGATTTGAAAGCTAGGAACAAATAAATTCCAATATTTCTTCTCTCTCTCACTCCAAACGGGAGGGTTTAAACCCCCTCCCCTCTATTTGAAAGGGGTGACAAATTTTATATGGTCATAATTTTTGAACGTTGAGAGATAATACTAAGAAATTTAAAATTTTTTGATGAATATAAGTCTAGTTGAGAATAACACAAAAAATATTTTATAAACTTGATATTTATTCTACATAATTATAAACATACAATTGTTTGGAGTTTGCTCTATATCTGGAAGTTAGCTCAAACACCAAAAAATGCTGGATCCGTCACTGAATTTTATATGAACTAATTATTAACTATTTATTATTGGTTTTTATTTATGTAAAAAGTTTTTATTTATGTAAAAAGAAAAGTTAAGTTTAGTAAAGAGTTAAAATTAGCTTGTTTTCGAGAAAAAAAGTTTTCTAATTTCTCATTGTATTGAAAGCAAGAAGTACTTTCTAGTACTTTCAGTTTTAATGACGTCTTTAAACTTTTTTAAAATGTCGTTTCCATCTAGAAAATTTCACTTTAAATATGTCAAATGTGTTTTGGTCATTTAAATAACGCCCATAAAATTAAGAAACTTTTTGCGAAAAATAGTCATTTTATACTCCTTAATATTATTATTATTATTATTATTATTATTATTTTATTTGATTAAGGTACCTCAAAAAGTCCTTACGGTCTTATCACAGAGCACCGCGGAAGAGCATTTAGGAAGTTCACGCCTCCTTTCCAACCGATGTCGCAAAACTTGCCCAGAGGTGGGGTTTGAACCACGGATTTTACGTTTCTGAGGCAAGTGCGCTACCACTGCGCCACGGCTGCTTTTAGTTTCATGCTTAATGTTTAAGACTAAAACATCAGAGACCACTACACAAAGCAATTTTTCAGGCCTCAAACAAATTATGATCTTATGATGAGAATGTTTTGCAGCTACGTTGCTAAGGTGTTCATAATAAAAAGAAGTCAGGGAAAAGTTAAAAACTCCAATCAACCTGAGGAGGCCAATGATCTCTTGATGTACTAATGTATGATGTATGTCATCACCTAGT